TGAGGGGGTCATGTTGGTGCAATCCTTACCGTCGGAAACCTCATCATCGGCGAGTAGTCGCCGGTCAGAGGGTCTCGCCGCCGTGCTCAGCGCGGGCTGACCGGTGGGGTCACCCTATCAGTGGCCGTTTTAATGAAAATGAATTTCTCTATTTTGCATAAATGGTTAAATAGTGCTATGATTTATTTATTTTGTGTAGAAATAAATAGAGCTCCAAAAATTATGAAGATTTTTGTGTGACCTCTCTGAGATGTGAACTATTTAGGAAAAATATTAAATGTTACTTTTCAGTATATTTTGAATGTGATAAAAATTGCTCAAATTAATTAATAAATGGGATTCCATGATTTGTCTAGGCTTAAATAATTATCCAAAAATTCTAAAAATTGTTTTTCCACTTAGTTATCATGTGATGAGTCTTCACAAAAATTTGGAGCTCATTTGGAAAAGGTTGATTTATTTCATAATTTTGAATTAATTAATTAATTGATAAAAACAGATAGTAAACCTTAATGACTTAGGTTTTGTTTGAATTTGGGATCGAGTGATGACCTCGGGTCATTAGCATAAAATGATCCTTATCACTTTAAGTAAGTGTTTGAGTTTATGATCAAGTTGTGATTAAGAAATGTTAATCTAAGTAACCCCTAGAGAAGGTTTAGTTAGTTGTTAGTTTGTAACTATACCGTGAAGGAAAGTTGTATTCAAGTTAATAACTTTTGCATCCATCGTCAAGCATCATGTTTCATATCTCTCATCATATTAAACATGGCATTATTACCACGTGTAGTGAACGAAAGTGAGCACTTGGTAGTCAACCAAGTTGTTGAGGAAGTCAACCCACCGGTTGAGGTCGGGTTTGATATCTGTGGAACATTTCCAGAACCTGACTTTTTCGACGATCAAGGCAAGCCCCAGATGCATTTAAACCTACCTTGTGTTTTACAAAATTATATCGCTTTTGTTTTTAAATACTGCATTAAGTGATTAGGAGTTGAGTGGAAACCTAATTGGTGCATTACCCACCTTGTTTTTTCATATCAACCTTGTTACCAGTTTTAATTCGAAAATGCCTAATTATGCTTAGCCATGCTTAGACCGATAAAAATCGGGTGATTACCTATCACCTGTGAGATATAAATGGATTTTTGTTTACGATTGATTATTTATGTTATCATGAGATATAATCATGTGGAGTAAGAAATCTAGACCGGGTGGACTCGGTGTATGAGAGCCACAAGACATGGATGTCTTGTGAGCGGGTTCTTTCCGCCTGTGTCGATTAAGAACCGTCCGTTGTTGAATTGCATGAGGTGAGACTTTGTAGTACTGGCCACATACTCCGGTAAGCCTTAACTCGGCTATTCTATACGAGAATGGCTACTCACGCACTGGGAGTGGAGAGATGGCAAGAGTAGCGTGTACCCACGTGGCAATGGGCTGGATTGGTGGAGTACTGTGCTCTCGGGTGGCACGGACCCATTCTTGTTTTAGAAAATCTGAGGGTAGGTTGGTATATGTAGGTTAGGGACCTGCATATGGCGTGTGGTTGGGAATCCCCAGCTGGGTTATAATTGGTTCGAATCGTCGTTGCTCCTCGGTTATGGAGACTCAACTCACTGTTCATCATCGTAGTTAACAATTGGAACTTGAGTAGGATTTGAGAAAGAGTTCGATATGAAGTTCATGATCTCAATATGGATCAGGTCAGCTTTATATATGATCCGTATGAAGATTCAAATGTTGAAAGAAAGAATCTTGTTAGAGAGCTTTTACGCAAAAGAACTTTGATTCTTGCTAAAGCCTTACCTTGAATCCCCGAGCCTGCATTCCTGAGTCTTCTCCGTTTTTACGTTGGTTAAGTCTTGTTGAGTACATTTGTACTCAGGGTTCTTTAACCCTTGTTGCAGGTGAGCCTCATGAGCAGGTCTGCCTTGGACCGTGCTGCATGACAGTTGTTCAAATCGAAGATGACAAGTAAATGTGTGGCCCTTGGGCAGGGCACTTTAATTGTGTGTTTTGTTTTATGTTACTTACGCTACTCCACTACTATGGTTTGTAATAATAATCGTACCTAGTTTGTGAAACAACTATTTTGTAACTAAGTTATTGTAAGACTTCCGCTATTTTACTCTGATGTAAATTAATGAATAAACTGTTGTAATACTGCAATGACTCTGTAATGGATCCTGCTCGGAAGAAATTGTGGATGATTCGGGTTTCTCGAGGACACCTGTCACACCCAATTTTAAGGATAAAATTTAATGCACAAAACTCGTGTGTGCCCAGGGATCAATCACACACACAAGCTGACAAATTACATAAAGTATCATCACGGTGTCTCTTACATCAGATCTATAATATAACTTAGTCTTACATTACACAGCGGAATATAAAAAGGTAACTCTCTCGTGGGGCTTCATCACAAGGAAGGTCAACTGGTTGACCACAAGCCTAAAAATCCTCAGGGAATTCCTCATACCCGTTGTCATCTGTTACCCATCCGGGATTTTTATCCAAATAAAGAAAATAAACAAGCGTAAGTACATCCCGTACTTAACAAGTTAACATGGGGTTATGAAGCTGAAAAAGGTTGACACTGGTTTACTGCAGTTAGCATTTTTTAGTAAGTCAAGCTTTTATTCTCAGGTATTATCAAATTATGCTTAAGCTCCCATTTAATCCCATATGAACAGATATCAGGGTCAAGTGTATCATATATCATCATAGAACAACTTAAATGATCATCAACAAGTAACCAGTTATTCTGTGAGTTTTCCGGGCCGCTCGTGACCGTGAGCATGGCTGTTATAACAGTTTGTTACCCTCTGCAGAGGTGGTGCACATTCACCGTGAGTCATGATTCCCATATGCCCGGGTTAATTACTCCTATGTCACTGCCAAGGTGAGCGGGCAGGGTACACTATGAAGCCATTTCATAGGTTTCTCTAACAAGTTAGGGCCGCTAGGTTTCCTCGGCAGACAGATGTAGGAACCCCCCTTTCCTATGGCACATATCCATCGTGGCTATACACATAAGAACAGAAGCAGCCCTATACCCAACGTGGCAAGCCCCTTTTGCGCCATAAAGGTAACCTCTAACTAGCTAGAAAAGGTCCTATTACTGAGCTAAAGTTAGAGCCATATGACTCTCCCAGTTGCACTATCAGTCCCAGCTTTTGCCGATAGATAAGTCCTTATGGAGGGCCAGGAGCAACATGATCAAAAGTCATTTGCCCCTTCGCCCTATGGATGAGTTGTTATAAATCATGTTATACTTTTGGTTCCATAGAACCATTCATCATCATGTAGATCATGTTCAGTTAGAGCACTAGCAATCTACCCATATGTAATTACCCCATAGGGGTCAAGGGAACAAGTCATCAAATGTCTAGAATGTCCTTAGGGTTATCAAAATTAGACACATGCACATGAGTAATTGATTAAAGTGAATAGGACATCAAGGTAGGCCCATGCTATACTTGCCTTGGTTCACAAACTCTTGCTGGTCCTGCTGGTCATCGAAGAATTCTTGGTCTCCAACGTTCTCCTCACCGTCTGAACGCGACCAACACGGCAACATACAACATTCCAAAGGCATTCATGCAAAGAAAACATTCCTATAATTAGAATAGTACACCAACAGTATAGAAAACAAGATAAAATATTTATGAAAATAATCTACGTCTCGCTACGATCACGTCAACGCGAAGTTCACTAAAAACGAAGCTAAAATGCGAAAGTTATGATTTAAATGGGATTTCCTATAGCACTTTATTTAATTAAAACTAATCATGAAATTTAAAAGTTCCAAACTTATCTAACAGTGGTTCTAACATGTAGATTATGAAAAAACACCCACTCAAGCAGACTACTACAAGGCCAGCAAACTTTGTTGGGGCCCTCCTTTTTCCCTCCCACTACCCACTTCCGTTGACCCAAGAGATAGCTACCCAAAAATCTTTTCGGTCATTTCCACCCTCCGTGCTCGCCGGCTTGAGCCTGCGCGCGGAAATTCCCTAGTTGCCGCCACAAGTAAGGTCGTTGCCATGCCCTTCCACCATCGTCGCCGGCGTGTCGAACTTGGCCGCGGTCAGATCCAACCGCCTGTTGACATTCTCCTCATTTCGTGATCATCGAGCGGGTCCCCAGCAACTCACTGTCTTCTCTGGTCGAAGCCCACCTCCTCCTCCCTAGCCGTTCCTCGTCCTCACCGGCCAGTCCACCCAACGGCCCTCGACCAGCACTGCCCAAGCATGGCCCTCGATCGGCACCACCCTCTCCTTCCCAACGGCCTCCCCATTGGTGCCCCCGATGGCTCTCAACCAGCACCTCCAAGCACGGACCCTCCTCACTAGTGCCGCCATGAGAACCATGCCCACCAACCAGTTTAAGGCCCGGGCCGGCCGTGGTTGTTCTCACATTGGTTACAGTGCTGCTGTATATGGGTAGGACAGAGGTTCGGCGGTTTTCTTGACCTACATGAGAAGGTGTTCTTCTTAATTCAATACCCGGGAGCTGTCTCACCCGCAGGTCAAGTTTTTTTTTTATGTTCTGGCACAGTATATTTGTGTTTATTTATGGGCTGAAACCGCAGCTCATACATGATTGTACTGTGTAATTCTAAAAAAAATCTTAAAAAATCTCATGCAAATCACCCTCTTCCAAACAGGGCTCTAAAGTATCTGCATTAAGCCACTAACAAGCCTCTAAAGCTCCAAACTGGCCTCTAAAGTATCTCCATCAAAGTGGCTCTTGCTATTGCTAAACTGAAGCCGGAAGAAGCACATTAGATTAATGTAGATGATTTTTTTGGGACATGACTTTGTCAAATATGCTGAAGAAGAAATTTGTACAAATGAAAAGGAATTCGTATCAACTGAAACAACTAGATATATAGAGTTCGTCACACAAAATATATCTATGCAAGCTGTAAAATAAGGGAAGTCAAAACTATTCAGTAGTCCAAACTAAGCTAATTTACTGACGATGACCGTACCTCAGCACACTGAAGACTTAACAGCTTCCTCCAATAAATTCATGGCGATAGAAGGGCATGCTTTTTTTAGGTGCTCATATCCTTTGGTTGCTATAACATCCTTGATCCTATTTCGTGAGCTGATAAAGCTAATGCAGGCTTATTTCAGCTTGCAACAATAATGCTGGTCAGCTAGAGCTAAAGTGGCAGCAACATTCTCAACGTGAAGCCTCCTGCAGAGCATACTCTCGCACATCAACCTCATCCTGACCATGGCATACCTATCTGCAGCCACGAGCAAATGATTGACTACTCCCTCATCATCAAGATCACAATCATCGTTGGCAGCTAGTAGTGAGAGTGAGTCGGTGTAGATGAAGTGAAGCAATGCCTTGAAAACACCGGGCTCCATATCTTGGATGGTTATGTGGCCATGCCTGGTCTTCCTCTCACCGATGAGCCCATAAAGCGCTCTGCCTTGAAGACCGGCGACCTGCACTAGTGGAGAAACGGGTTGTACTCCCGGTTCTCAACCGCCTTCAGTCCCGGTTTTAGAACCGGGAGTACAAAATCGGGACTAAAGGTCTCCTCATTTAGTCCCGGTTGGTATTACCAACTGGGACTAAAGGTTTCCTTTTTCTTTCTTTTTTTTGTTTCTATTTTCAATTGATGATTCGTTTTGGTTTTCGAATAGGTTTTTGAATACGCATTCTACGCTGCTAATAATATACGTATTCTACACGTTTATAATGTTCGAACATTTTGTACAAACTAAAGTATGAAACTAATGTACACATTACATGCATATACATATATTGTACGTTATTTTATGTACATATAATATGTATGTATGTGTGTGTGTATATATATATATATATATATATATATATATATATATATATATATATATATATATATATATTACAAATAAATGTTGCATTGTATATTCTATCATATCCTTGGGATAACAAAATCACTCCATCTAGTTTGGCTTCCATGTTTCGTTGACGTCATTGTAGAACTCGCCGGCGGGGTTGAGGACCTGGTCATTAAGAAATCCTGCTAAGGTCTCTTGAATTGCTTTCAGTTGGTCACGTCGTATGACTTTTTCCTTCAACCATAGAGTCTTCAATAAAAGTTAAAGGAAAAGTATTAATATATATATATATATATATATATATATATATGTTGGTCACTTGATTACTTATATATATGAGCAACAAAAGAAATTGTGAATATATGAATATATTTATATAACATACTTTGAGGATCTCTTCAGGAGTTCTTTTTGTGTACGCCCCGATAAACTCGCAAACATAGTATCCGCAGTAGTTGTTCCCCTGTTCTTGCCTCAGAACCCACTTTTACGAGAAAAAAGATCCGGTGAATTGAAAGCATGCATGGTGTTAATTGAATTATATATATATATATATATATATATATATATATATATATATATATATATATATATATATATATATAAATGTAGATAGTACTTACTTTGTGTGCGATTACATCCAGTGGCGCTTTGCAATGTTTCATGTGGTGATTCTCAATGAAACTTTTCCAAACACTGCGCCCAATAAAATAAAACATTAATTTGGTCTTTAATAATTGTTGCAGTTAAGAGATCGGGGTATATATAGTTGCTAGAGATACCATATTACCCTTGGATAATATCTATCATGTCTTAGTACTCTGTTTGCTCTTTTCTTAACGAGTCTAAGATTCTCAACCGACTATTGACCATATCAATGATCATCAATATGATGTTATTTTCTGACCAACGTTGTTAATAACAATATCATAATTTTAATGATTTATGCATTAATTCTACTTCTGCCCAACGGTGATGTAGAATTAGTGTATAAGAAAAGTTGATAATTTTAATGATTTATGCATTAATTCTACTTCTGCCCAACGGTGATGTAGAATTAGTGCATGAGAACAGTTATAAAGGTTAATGATTTATGCATTAATTCTATTTCTGCCCAACGGTGATGTAGAATTAGTATGTAAGAACAATTGTGAAAGTTAATGATTTATGCATTAATTCTATTTCTGCCCAACGGTGATGTAGAATTAGTGTATAAGAATAGTTGTATGTTTTGATTTTGACCAACGTTGGAATCAAGGCATGAAAATGATGTTATTTTTATGTTAAGAAAAGTTTTGCCCTGGTTTTCATCTTGTCTAAGGTGGACTGGATAGTCACCTCACCGTGTTCCACTGAGTTTGTGGCACCGGTGAGGAAGACAAAAGAGAATGATGCCGATTAGGTAACTAAAGAGAGGGATTTTGAATCCCAAAAGATGTCCTATGCCCTTGAGCATAGGAAGTGTGTCATTGCCAACAAGAAATGTTTGGCTGTGATAAAGAACACGATTGACCCTGCAATTGTGGGCTCAATCCCAGAGTGTGACACGGTCACCGAGTACCTCGATAAAATAAAGAGTCAGTTTACTGGCTCTTCAAAGACATATGTTACCCAGCTGATAAAGCAGCTGATGATCTCATTCTCGCATGCTGTCGTCTCCGGTCCCGACACCCGATCGCCCACCACAACACTAACGTTGCACACGATGGTGAGGCGATCATCGAACGTGAGGTACTTCGGGTACACAACATGCAGCTTCTTGATGAACTTTCCAAAGCCCCAGGAATGGCTTGCAATAGTAGGGTCCAGCACGGTGTGCTTAATGTGGAAGCCGTGGGTGATGTACTCGCACGCGCCGGTGGCCGGGTCGACGACACCGAAGCGGACGAAAGCCCTCACCTTAGCCCCTTTAGGGCAGGCTTTGTTGCTCCTGAAGTCGACGAATACGGAGGCATACCCACTCGATTCTTGCCCCCAGTACCCGTCGGAGTAGTAGGAGATGGTCCACTCGTAGCCGCCGATGGCGGAGGCAGCCGAGCAGAGGGCTCTGGCGACGCCAAGGCCCTCGTGGAGTTTGTACCCGTGGATCTCAAACACGTGGGAGCATTGCTCAATCTCTGGGGTGCAACTCGACGTCGTCTTCCTTCCTTCTGGCACCGTCGACGCCGCCATCGCCGTCGACTCACGTAGAGAGATATGACGCTAGGGTTTTGCTGCACAGCTGCAGAGGGCCGGTTGTCTTTTCCCGTGTCCTTGGGAAACTCTATGCTGGAGGCCGGGGCCACCCGAGATGCCAACAGATGGGCCCAGGATGTCGAGAATGCGTGTATCTTCACTCTACAGTTGTACTAATAACAAATAAATTTCTCTCAAAAAAACTAATAACAAATAAATACATGTTTCTCAAAAAAAACTGACAAATAAATACATGTCTGCTTTACAACCAGAGGAAATACCCGGGGCGTGTTAGGGTCCGATCATCGGACCGTAACAACGCGCCGGCAACGCGCGCGCCAATAACTTCCTGCAACCTCGCGCCGACGCTTCAGTGTTGGCTGCTGGGCCGGTTTTGGGCCTGAACTCTAATGTGTATAATCTTATTTTTATTGTTTTATTTATATTTTGAAGACTAATATAAAATTTCCTGGCCTTCACACGTGAAGGAAGAAAATTAGTCTTTTGTAATCAATGACTATTTTCAGCGGAATTTATCATTCACCAGAGAATAATCTGTTTTATTTTTACTTCTAAAATAAATCCTAATAGAGTGTACGGATGAAATATTTCACACATACTCCCTCTGTTCCTAAATATCTGTCGTTTTCGCTTCCCGAGAAACAACTTTGACTAAATAAATATTAAAAAATATTGATTTTTATGATACATAATTAGTATCATTGGAAAGATCTTTGAATCTACTTTTTTAATAAATTTAGTTGAAGATACAAATGTTGCACGTATTTTCTATAAATCGAATCAAACTTTCGACACGCACACTAACAACGACAATTATTCTAGGACGGAAGGAGTATTCAAGTAAAATTGTTGGGCCATGCCAAGAAGGATGGATCTAAAACAAAAGATTGGCAGAAGTGCTAGAAATGGTTTACCCCGCGCGGTCACATCCAGCCCACCGTCACTCTCTCAGCCCATGGCCCACCCAACACCCACCCCACGTACTCGTACACTACTTCTACACGCACAAAAGAAGTCGTGAGCATACCGAGAGAAGGAAAAGAAATATTTTCATAATAAACATTAATATAGAAACAAAAATAATACATGAGAATAATGTTTTAGATAAAAAAAATATACCATGTGACATCTCATAAAATATAAGCCAGCTGCGGTTGCAGCTTTTACTATATCATGAAGTAAAAAGCCGCAGCCGGCGTGCATCGAACGACACCATAAAAAAGCTTCGCGAGAGATAAAACAAAATAATAATATAAAAAATATAATAAAAAAAGATAGCAGTTATAAGTAATAGAGGAAACAAGGGAAAATAACCTAAAATTATCAAAGAACATCACATGAATACTACTTGAATAGTCTAAAATAAATACGAACATCTCATGGGTACGATATGAAAACTCAAAAGATAATCGTAGAACATCTCAGTTATAAAATGCGAACATTCTAAAATACATCGTAGAAAATCATATGTATACTACGTGAACATTAAAAAAGATACATCATAGAACATCACATATATACCACGTGAACATCACAAAATACATCATAGAGCATCACATGTATACTACATGAACAAATATATTATAGAACATCGTGTGTATACTATGTGAACATCATAAAAATACATCGCAGAACATCACAGAATATATAATAGAACATCACATATACACTACATGAACATCACAAAAAAACACCATAGAACATCACTTGTATACTTTTGAAACATACTAAAAATTATACTATAGAGCATCACATGTATAATAAGTGAACATCACTAATTACATTATAAAACACCACAAAATACATTGTAGAACATCACATATATATTATGTGAACATCACAGAATAAAATATAGAACATCATTGTATACTACATGAACATCACATGTATACTACATCAATTTATAAAAAAGTACATTGTAGAACACCACATGTATAGTACATGAACATCACAAAATACATCACAGAACATCACATACTACGTGAACATCACAAAAATATCATAGAACTTCATATATACTACATGAACATCATAAAATACATCATAGAACATCACATATATACTACGTGAATATCACAAAAACATCATAGAACATGACATGTATATGCCACGTGAACATCGTAAAAATACATCATAGAACATCACATGTATACTATATGAACACAACATCTCATGGAATATAGAAAAATAAATAAATAAAGTAAACATGAGACATGAAACAAAAAATAAAAAAATAATGAAAAATATAAGGAATCGTGAAAAATCACATGAAAAAATTAAACAAAAATAAAAAATAAATTGAGGAAAGGAAATACAAAATAATAAGAAAGGAAAGGAAAGAAAAATCACATGAAACCAACAATTAAACAAAAAAAATAAATTAAGGAAAGGAAATAAAAAATAATAGAAAAGGAAAGGAAAGGAAAGAAAAGAAAAGAGAAAAGAAATAAAAGAAACATAAAAAGAATGAAAAATGAAAAGAATAATAAAAATTAAATATAAAGAAAGAAAATAAAAAATAAAGAATGAAAAGAAAAAAAAGAAAAGAAAACAAAAGAAAGAAAAGAAAAGGAAAGGGAAACTTCGGTACAATAGAAAAAGAAAGCCAAAGAAAAAAAAACAACACCAACGTGACTCACTAACGCATGACAACGGACTATGGTAGCTAGCAGCGATAGATTAATGATGTGATCCGCACGGGCCCAAAACATCTGTAGGCCCAAGAGTAAACAAATGATCCAATACAAAAAGTATCAGAGTCGACGCGCAGGAAACAGATCATTGACGCAGTGCTCGGGACGACTTGCTAGGGAAATCGTCGTCACGCGGCTCCCGTCCGATCGTTCGGATGGGAAGATTTCCGGAAATACCCTAGCATGCAAAAGCTTAACAAACAATGCTCCAAATTAATTGAAAGTTATAACGTAAATTTAGTTTGGTCCCAAAACTCTTCTTTCAACATGTTCCTACCAAGCCCTACAGTTTAAATATAAGAAAAGAAAAAAAAAACTTTGCGAACCGCGAACGGAACCATGTTTGGCCAACCTAACACATGTGCACAATCTTAATTAATTAGGTCCCAAAACCCAGTCTTGGGCCATGAATCGCCGTGGCACACGGCTTGGCACGGTGGTCAACTCATACTGCATATTCGGCTTGAACAACAACTACCACAACGCTGCAACATCGCAATGTACGTTGAAAGAACATAGCATTTTTTTCCTCAATAATATGTGGGAAAATTTGTTCCATAGCAATGAAAGATCTTAGGATTCTAAAAATACCATAGAAAGAATATGTTGTTGTAAAATACCACGCAAAGATCGAATTGTTAACTCAACATAGCAGTCAGTTACATTTTCGATACAACTCTCTTAAGCCTTGTTTGGATGCACTTAAATCTATCTCAATCCATGTGTGTTGGAGTGGATTGAGGTAGAAAATAATTTAAGTTCCACCCGAATCCACTCCAATACATATGGATTGAGGTGAATACGAGTACATCCAAACAACGCACCAATCCACATGTGTTGGGGTGAATTGGAGTGGAACTTGAACTAAATTCCACCCCAACACATGTAGATTGAGGTAAATTTGATGACGTCCAAACAAAGCCTAACTTGGGCCAAAATATCCTACACATAAGTTCTTTACTCAACATCAAAACCGATTTGTACACAAGTCATGCGATTTTTCGCATGAAATATGCGCTTTGAAGTTCCTATGATTCAAAGTTTCAAACTCAAGAGTCAAGACCTTTGCCTCGCAGAGTCTGCCACACAGCTACGCCCCCACAGTTACTTTGGACTAATTGTTTGATGCTATTATTTTGTATTAACTTCTAAGAATCCTGTATTGAATATTACAACCTCTAAGTGATTTCAAATCAAAATGCTTCAACATAAGTTTTAGAGCTCGCCAAGCGTTACAACTTTGGCAAAGGACATATCCCTATCTGAGGTCATTGTGAAAATTAAAAAAAATCAAAATCTTAAAAAAATATACGTCATTGTTAGGTATTAATATTTATTTTCACATATTTAAAAATGCTCTAATTTAAAATTGTCGTTGCTGGCAATCATCTTTTTCTTACATAATTCTTTTTGGAGTATCTCACCTCATATGGTTTGTTTCTTTTCATCTTCATGAACTAATACTCTTTTTTATATATACTTATTTTTATACCATGACCTTCCCTCTTTATAAGAACATTATTTTTTATTCATTCACTGCGTAATAGTGGCGGAGCCACCGCCCGATGAGCCTAGGTGTGCAAAGGGATGTTTTCTTTGCATCAAAGAAAAACACTGTATTTTTAGATAAATATTTCTGTATAATGAGAACTGTTTGGGCTTCTAAAAGTTTCTGCCTCCGCCACTACTGCATAATGCTCGTTTTTCTTTGGTGCTTTTCCTCTGCCATTGTAACACCTCGGGTGTTAGCCTTGCATAACTTGACTTGCATAGCATGAGCACGATCATCAAGCATTCATAAACAAGCATTTACACTTGAAACATCGAATTGAAACATATGCAACGTTTGCTTGTTTTTGCATGTTTCTTTGTACTTATGCAAATGATCATGAATGAAAACATGTACTTGGTAGATGTGAGTCACAAAAACATGTAACCACACTTGGGTTAGCAATTAGAGCATTGTTCATGAAAGTCACTTTTCATAATCAAGCCTTTAAGTCATACTTCATGTGATTACTTTAAATGGCCCTATGAGTGACTACTACATGAAATGATTGAATGACCTTGCAAATTTAAACATGTTTAGAGTATCATTATGAACAACTTTGATATTCATGGTTAGGGGTAAGAAGGTCATTAAGCCATGCTTTGATGTGTATCATCATTTAAAAGTGACATGTTTGACTGAAGTTGAACTAGGAGTTAGAGACCTTGCATGGAGGAGATCACTAAAGCAAAGTTGTAGTATTTGATATAAGGAACAACTTTTATTTTTGGGTC